TACTCCGTAGCTGTAATACCGGAGCCACACACGCTCATGCACTGCCTCTCATTCTCCACCTATATCTCTATCTCCTCCCTTGCTTGGGTTTTACCTCAGTGCTTTTATTTCTTTTTCTACCTTTTCTCTTCTCCCCAGCCCCGCCCCCCCGTTGCATCCTCCTCCTCTTCTCATCTTTCCTGTAATCTTGTTCGAACCAAGTGACCAAGCTCTTTGAGCACTGCTGCCCCCCCCCCTGGGTTTGCCTCGCCGCCTCATTGCCTCCCCTCTCCAATTCCCCTTCCACCACAACCCCCCCCTCCGCCCTCTCCAGCCTTGAGCTTCCACAGCTATAGCCAACGACAAGTCACGCATGCACATTCACACACACACCCACACACATGAGTGTGCACATGCTCACACCCAGAAAATTGGCACACACAGCTCAACACCAGCAAAGTTGCAGGGAACAGTCTGCACACACACACACACACACACACACACACACACACGCGCGCACAGTGAAGATATGACCAAGATCAGTCACGGTGGCTAAATCTTGTTCCCCTTCTCTCTCTGTGGAGGAGACATAATAACTTTGTTAGAGATGGAGGGAAAGAAGGACGGAGAGATGGATGGTAGGAGTCTGAAGTTAGGGATGAAGAGAAGGAGGGACGTGTGGGGACGGGGAAGATGGAGAAGAGGTTGGGAAAAAGAGGGAACGAGTGAATGCAATGTTCTGGATATTTCCTTAATTAAAAGATAAATAGAAAGTTGGCCTGTGTTCTCCTGCAGGTCTCTGCTGCCATGACGAGCCCTGACTGCAAAGTGGTCTGGTCTGGTCTGGTCTTACTCACAAACACCTACTAGGTTCTCAAGAGTATTGAGAAACAATTGCACAACAACTTCCATTTGGATAAAATACATTTTGTCATGTCTTCCATTTGTGCTTTCAAAGCGATCATTTTAATGCACCCTAGCACCCATTCATTGTGCAGGGAACCTCCAAATGGCAGCTTTCCATGATTCAAAGCTCATAAGTCCCCCAGTGGAGCAACTGAGAAATCAGACGGAGCGATCAGTACCTTCAAAAGAGTACAAGGCACCCAACAGTGCCATAAAACCAAGACATGGAAAACATAGAGGACATAAATCCAGGTTCATCTGCTTATTTGTTGTTTTTACATCCAGTGTTTCCAGCAAAGGGGCAAAGAGATATTACAGAAAACATAACATTGCCTACGCCTGTGTAGCTCACACTTTACTCAGGGAGTCACAGGTGATGCGCACTGTTTTTTTCAGTTTCAGTTGTTCTCAATATGAGGTGATAAGACCTTTTATGGCAGTGTTAGCAGTGTGAAAGGATGGCTGGATGGAAAAAAAAGACACCAAAGAACGGCAGCCGAGAAAACGCAGAGAAATTAGCCTTCTCCACAGTGTGTGTGTGTGTGTGTGTTTGTATGGGAGGGAGAGATCGAATGAAAGGGGGACGGACGCGGAGACAGGGAGACAGGGAGACAGAGAGACAGAGAGAGTGGTGATTCATGGTGCCAAAGGAGGTGGAGCAGCAAAGCTGATGTGATATGAATCAACAACCATGGTCAATGCTCTTACTGCTTTCAATAACGGGTCGAGGCAAAGCTTGCGTGTGCGTGTGCGTGTGTGTGTGTGTGTGCATGTGTGTGTGTCTGTGTGTGAGCAATGTGCTTTATAGTGGTGGGAATATGTGCGTTGTCTTCCTTCATTTTATTGTTCAAGGCCCTCTGGCACATACTATACTTAACATTTTCCAAATCCACTTTTGATACGGCTATTGTCGTTCTGGTTCATTTTGTGCTTCTCCTTTCCTTCGGCAGTGCAGTGTATTGTTCTGTTGTGCTTTCTTTTTTATTGGTTTTATGATAAGATGTTTTCATTTTCTCTGATTGCTATCCTATGTCCAGGGCTGTAAAGTTCTGATCCTTAACATTTCCGCCCTGGCTTGAGTTGGCCAACCTTTGCTTACGGAAGCTAAGAGCTACTTTGTCCAACTGAAGAACGTAAGAAAGAGGATGAATTTACCAAACTGCCCGCTATCAAAAACTTCTTCAGAAAATGTTGGATTTGCATGAGCAGTAACTTGTAGCCCCCCTGGCGTTAGGAGAGTTTATTCACAGAAATTTGAATAAAGCTGCCAATGTGGAGAGGTCAGTTACAGAACAATAATGCATTGAAAGCTACTGCTGAAAAGTCACTGGCCATAAATAATAAATGATATTATCAAAACATTATTGCATTCTGCTCAAACAGTAAAAGTATTTTCCCTTCGTCTTGCTCACTTGCATCTCCTTACATTACATCAATGTCTCTGTCGCTTGTACTAAACATCAATGTTTGCAACTTGCTAAGATTGCATGGATTAGTTTTTTAAACTTTAAAAGGTTCCACATCTTTCCAATTTATAGTAGAAAGAAAGGATGATAGCGCAAATGCATCTATGGAAATTATCAAAGCATTACACAAGACACTTTAAATCACTTTTAATAAGATTACTTTTTTGTCACCAACCAGGTTAAATTATATAAATAAGAGAATAAGTGCACACCTCCCTTCACATTAGCTACCCTTGATATTTTTTCCATTCCAATGTACATTTTTTGGACTAAAAATAGAACCGATTTGTTTACGGATGAGGACGACCCGGAATACACGATGAGGTGTGACAGAGAGGAGGTGTGGAAGAGAGAGTGAGCAGTAGCTTGTGATATGGAGAGGTGCTTGAGACGTGAAGTGGTGACTGTGTGTGTAGGCGGAGACGAGAGAGACGCAGGACATGAACTTACGCAGATACACAGAAAGGAGTTGAGGGAGCCTGATGGAGGAGGGAGGCTGAGAGGCAGGTGGAGATGGGAAAGATGGGGCAGAGTGAGGGGGAAGAAATAGGAGATTCAATGATGCATGGAAAATACAAGAGAGGACGGCAAGAAGGCTGAGTGGCTGACTGATGAATAATGTCTGGAGTCATTTCGGGGCCTTTTGAGCATCATCAATGTCCCAGAGTTGAGTTTAGAGAGTGGAATGATGTTGGACTTCAACTAAACTTATGGCAGTTTTATTCCGTGAAATGTACGTGCAAGATTTTTTTGTATCGTTTTTTCATGAAGAAGAATGCGTGGAATGCTACAGACAATATTGCTGTTTTAGCTGCATCAATTTAGACTTCTTTCTTTTTGAGTTTATCGAGGCAAACAGCGTTATAGGAGCGCAATGCTCAAACCGCCATCTGCATGATTACCCGATCATTCCTCAAGCTAAACTCCATCTGTGATTAAGAAGTGAAGTCAAATTTCTGCTGAAGAAAGACAAATGGCAAGACCGGGGGGACGAGGGAGTGGTGGGGGGAGGGGGTGGGGTGGAGAAGCAGTACCCGGGATGGATGGCGGAGGAGAGAAGCGAGTCAAGTATTGAAGTGACGGGTTGTTGTCAGAGCCGAGAGACCCTGGGAGATAAATGAAGACAGGGTCAGCAATTCCCTTCTAATGTCACCAAAGATGACTAACTATGGTTGGGAGCGTGTTGGTATGTATGTGTGTGTGTGTGTGTGTGTGTGTGTTTGTGATGGGGTCAGCTATTTTTCACCCAGGGCTGACTATCCATGAGTGTGGAGTGTGAATGTGTGTGTAAAAGAGAAAGTATAGGAGCACAAGGTCACCAACCTTAGCACCGCATGACTGACAGTGTCTGGCTCCCCCAACATGTTCCAGCTCCTCTGTTTCTCTCTCTATGTTTGTTTTCCCTGATGTGACCCAACAGTTCAATTTTTTTCTCATCCTTTTTTGGGGGGTTATCTGTTTTTACTCACAGCATAACAACGTTGGCCCGACAAAACAACATTCTACAAAGCTCTCATATGTCTGCTGCCCACTGCTTGTTCTCGGCTCCGCTAATGCTCACTGCCAAACACTGTGTTGCTGCATGGAATCTGCACTGCATTCAAAGCCCACGCTCGCGACCCTCTGCCAGGAGGACTTGTGTGTAATGATTTCCATGCATGAGAGACTTGGCTCCAGGCCACTATTTCTAGGGGAAATTGAGTTTGTTCACCAACGTATGCGGTGCAAAATAATATCTTCATACTGTTTACCTGCGAGAATCTTTGAGTAGAGTCATCAAAGTTTGATCACTTTTTCCCGTTCACCATCCATCCTTAAGATTTATCCACTTTACGGCAGCACTTTTCCATTGCTTAAAGATTGTTCCCAAATTTAATGGATTTTCTAGGGCGCTTCCAACTCGCTATAAAATGTAAAATTATTCTTACTATACACTACCACAGCATTACATCATGGCAACGTGGACTACATAGTAAGATTGTTTTAATATAGTGTACTATATAGTGTGTAGCGGGTGATTTTGGAGACCCTCTGTCTCCTCTTGGTTGATGTTAAAATGTATTGGGTGATGTCGGGCCGGGAGCCTCTTTTTGAAATACGAAACCAAAAACATTCCACATTTCCAATATAGTACCGTGTGTCCCTGTATGATCTGGTAAAGCTAAAAAGAGGTTACCATCGACTGCTCTGCAGTCCAGATTAAAAACAAGAGGTGTCTGATTTTCTTCTTCATCTTAGCTCCTGAGAAGCTCAAGCCTTCCGTTTTTTACAGACTTTATTACTCTCACTTTATTACTAATGTTTGCTAAGTCATTCAAATACTTTTAAACACAGTGTTTTTTATTATCCCAGTTTTTATGCACCGTAATAGCCTCTAATCATTGCTTTTCTTGCTTCTTTATTTCATTGGACCAGTTTGTAATCCCCATGAAAGCTTTTTGCAAACACTTCCTAATAAGTTCAATTCAAAATAAACAATGTTGTTATTTTAAATCACATTAAATATTGGGTTTGAAAAGCACTTGATGTAAAAACAGAAAAAGGTGTTTTTATTGTTAGTTCAATGAAAAATGAACCAGATAGTTTACTGAGCAGTGTAACTGAGCGGTTGAATGACGGCTCCTGTCTCTCTTCTCTGCCTACCTCAAGGATCTGGACGTCGCTCCGAGCTGCCTCGACATTAGAAGTCTGTAGAATCCATCAAAGGCCCGACCGCCTCAGCTGAAATGGCTCCGGCAGCCATGCCTGTGCATCCATCCTCTCTTCCTTCCCGCCTCTCTTCGCACCTCCTCCTCTTCCTCCTATCGGCCTTCCTCCTCCTGTCATGTCCTGGATCGGCGCACGCAGGTTCATCGGAGAGTAACTGCTCAGCGAGTGGAGACCCCTGTCAGGAAGGTGGGTTGGTCTCATCTGTTAGAATACTGCAGTGTAAAGCAGGCCTGTTCCATTCCCTCCGTGGTACAAAACAATAATAAAGCATCTAATTCATAATCAATTGCCCATAACGGAGGCAGTAGATGCATTACATCGTATGGTTTGTCTCGAGTAATGCATTTATAATTAGGTGTTCAATTTGGAATCCAGCAGATTTACATTACATTACATTATAGGTCATTTAGCTAACGCTTTTATCAAAAGCGACTTACATTACATTTTTAACCCATGGCTTTTACATTTTGCCCCGGGGAGCATAGAGGGGTTAGGTGTCTGGCTCAGGGACACTTCGACATGGGGCAGCCAGGACTTGAACCACTAACCTTGTGGTTCCCAGCGCACCCTCCCTTCGCCACGACCATTTCTTGGCCAGGTCTCTGTTGTCCTGGTTGTGCTTTGCGTCCACATATTTTGCTAATACGCTCTGCAAGAAAGTGTTCCTATGGTGAATTCCTTTTACATTTATAAATGTACATTTTGTTTGTCTTTATAATTGCCTACGTGTTTTGAAGTCTCGTCACAGCCTCTTCAAAGTTTATTGCATAATTGTGGTACATTGGTTGGGAGAATCCTTAATTTCTAAAATATAAATAATCTCCTAGCATTTATTGGATTATATTTTTCCAGCTCATTTTGTGCAACCTCTCCAGAGGCTCTGCAAATGACATGTGTTTATTTACCAGGTGTTAATGCATATTCAAAATAAACAATATCAACAGAATATTCATAAAGAGACCACACCAGGAACGCCTTACCATACAAAGATGTTTGATTGCCCCTCTGAGCACTTGGTCCGTTATCAGTTCATTCTGCCATTTTACTGCCTTAAACTAGAGCTTTGTTCCATTTTGATCAAGACGAATGGGACCATATGAAAAATCTCCCACTAATTATCATCCTTAATCAGGTTGTTCTGGTTCCGATCTATTTACAAAAATTCCCGCAGCCTCCGGCTCTAAATTATTAAGGAGGGAGAGAATATTAAGGTTAGCACCCAACATTGTTATAACCACGTGTCTCTCGTGATCCTTTGCTGCAAAAATCCTCCAAAACCATTTTTTCCTTTCCCATTTCAGGTGTGGTGCTGCCGGTGTGGAACCCTCAGAACCCCTCTGTGGGCGACAAAGTGGCGCGGGCCATAGTTTATTTCGTAGCACTAATCTACATGTTCCTTGGCATGAGCATAATAGCCGACCGATTCATGTCTTCTATAGAGGTAGGCAACAGATGGATTTCCGCAAACCTACCTTACAGTTGAGATGTTGCATGAATTCTCCTCATGACGTCATAGTGGATTGATGCAGTTCTATATTATGTCAGTTATCACCTCACATCCTTTGAGAAATACAACTGATATAATTAAATAGGACTTGCGTTCGACAGCTCTGTGGCATCTTGATTGAATACTAAAAAACTTCAATTGTTTATTCCTTCCCCTGCTTTTCCTCATCTCTTTTCTCTATTTTCCTTTGGGTACATCACTGACCCTTATTCCTTTCTTTTTTCCTTCAATCCTTCTTTCCTTTTGCCTTTACTTACTTTCCATTCTGTGCCACATTTACTTTCCTTGCCGACGCTCCTCCTCTCGCCTTGTCTCGTCTTCTCCGCTCCTCTTGTCTCCTCTTGTCTCCTCTCGTCTCCGCTCCAGGTCATTACCTCCCAGGAGAAGGAAATCACTATAAAGAGGCCGAATGGCGAGACCACCACCGCCACGGTCAGGATCTGGAATGAGACCGTTTCTAATCTCACTTTAATGGCCTTGGGCTCGAGCGCCCCAGAGATCCTGCTGTCAGTTATTGAGGTGAGCTCAAAATGTTACACATTGGATTTACTAATAAAGAATGTAATGGGAACACAGTAATCTAATTTACTCCCCCAACCGCAGGTGTGCGGCCACGGTTTTGAGTCTGGCTCTCTGGGTCCCAGCACCATCGTGGGCAGCGCTGCCTTCAACATGTTCGTCATCATCGCCCTGTGTGTTTACGTGGTTCCTGATGGAGAGACGCGCAAGATCAAACACCTTCGGGTGTTCTTCGTCACAGCGGCCTGGAGTATCTTTGCCTACATCTGGCTTTATCTGATCCTGAGTGTCTTCTCCCCTGGGGAGGTGGAGGTGAGGACGGACGGAAACGAAGGCTGTAACGGAGAGGAATATTCTGGGAGAATTGTTTTGGGGCGAAAGGAGCCGTTGACCATTTCTCTTCTCCCTTGTAGGTCTGGGAGGCCGTGCTGACGTTCCTCTTCTTCCCGCTCTGCGTGGTCCAGGCCTGGGTGGCCGACCGTCGCCTCCTCTTCTACAAATACGTGAGCAAGCGCTACCGCGCCGACAAACGCCGCAACATCATCATTGAAACCGAGGGAGGGGCGGACGGAGAAATGGCCGTCGCTGTGGGGGGAGGGGGAGGAGGAGCACTGGGCCCGGGGGGGTTCACCAAGATGGACATGCTGGAGCTGGATGGACAAATGGCGTTGAACAGTCACAGCGGGATGGATGGAGGGATTTTCGAGGAGGGAGGAGCGAAAGACGAGGAGGACGAAGCCAGGAGGGACATGGCGAGGACGCTGAAGGACCTCAAGCAAAGGCACCCAGACAAAGACATGGAGCAGCTGATCGAGATGGCAAATTATCAGGTCAGGATGAGTGCGTTTCTGTGTGCACATCAATTTCGTGGCATCGATTCCACTCGCTTCCTGTTTTTCTGCTTTCTTGCTCAAGATCTCTCAACCTTTTTATGGTGCAAAATGTCAAGCAACTGAGACGTACACGTGCATTGCATTTTAGTCATGAATTAATGAACAATGTGACACATTACTATAAGTACACACCAAATGTAACATGGAGGATAGAATACGCCCCTCATATAATGTTGTGTGCTGATGAAACCACTAGTGGGCAGAGAGGAAGGTGCCGGTTGGCTTGATTGACTGCACTATAACGTGCAACCCCTCTGACATCCCTGTGATGTTTCTCCCGGTAAGTTACATGAACATTAGACATGTTAGCGTGGTGGTTCACTCATGGACTTCATGGAAAAAAATTGTAACACAAGGTCCACTTGTCCACTGCTTTCTTTCTGAGGCTTCACGCAAATGAGGACGGCTGTGATTAAAGGTTAAGAAAGAAAAGAAACAACTTGCCAAGCTGACCTTGCGTTAAGATTTTTGGAGGAGTTTAGACGTGTCCCATAGAGATGAATCGACTAGTCGGTTAATTTGTTCTCATCCCTTTCAAAGAGAAATCAGTCGCTAAAAGATGAGTGGTCTTGTCTCAGTTGCTTCAAAAAATCCTTTTGAATACTAATCATCATACCGTCACAATAGTGGTCCCTGTGTTCTCGTCTGGTTTCATCCTTTTCAAGCTGAGCTGTAGAAGCTGTCCAGGTATCTGCTGCGCTTCCTTTCTCTGCTTACCTCTTTCCTCTTCCGTCCTGGTTTCTTCGCTAAGTAATTTCACGATTTTGCCATTTTTCGTTGTTTTGTAGGAAGGAGGTTTGCCAGACACTGGGAAAACTCCAGATGTTTGTTTGCATACAACCCCCCCCCCCCTCCCCACACACACACACCCATACACTCCCTGCTGCTACTCTCTCAGCCTTGTGCTGTAAATAGAATAAAACACCAGTCCACCTGGTTAGGACTTTAATAAGTGAGGCCAGCTCCTTCAACAAAACCACATCATATTTTTGACTTAACTAACAACTATGAAGATTCTGAAGTAAAACTGCAGGCCTGATTTTGTTCTTTTCCTATTTCTTGGATTGTTAGAAAGCTACATTGCTATTCAGAAATACACTTAGAAAACCAGACTCATTAGATTAGCAACCTGCAATAGCAGTCTCATTTCAGAGGTTCAGAGGTTAATAATTGAGGGAACTGGAAGGTTACATTGTCACATTGTTCCTCGTCAGCGTAATTCCACTCATCCACCTATTTATTTTGACTGACCTGGCAATATCTTTTTGTTCAACAAAGCAATGATAGTTATGACATTTTGAACCATGGTGGAAGCTCCAAAATCACAAACCCCAGAGAAATAGCAGGCATACTTTAAAGTGCAGGATCAGGGAACATTGTCATTAATTCAGTGAGTTGTTATACGACCTTTGATCCGTTAACTTATTGTAGAGAAAATTTCCCAGGAGAGATTCACCGCTTAAAAATGCAGTTGTCAGTTAAACAGTAGAAGCTTTTGTAGAAGAAACACTAATCTGGAAAAAACAATCACATTATAGATTATCCCATAATGACTGCAATAGATCCCCTCTGGTAATTGATTGGATTTGTTGACCAGGTTCTGATGCAGCAGCAGAAGAGCAGAGCGTTCTACCGTATCCAGGCAACCAGGATGATGATCGGAGCCGGCAACATCCTCAAAAAGCATGCCGCCGACCAGGCTCGCAAAGTGAGTCACGGCTGGTCCGCGCTCATCCTCCTTATTCAAAATGAAAGAAAACTTGGACCTGACTTTTTTCACCGACTGTCTTTCCAGGTGGTCAGCAGCAATGAGACGCAGGCACCGGAGAACGACCCTCACACCATCAGGATGGAGTTCGAACCCTCTTTGTACCAGTGCTTTGAAAACTGTGGCTCCCTGAAACTGACCGTTGCCAGACGTGGAGGAGACCCTGGAGTCTCTGTCATGGTGCGTGAAGCACAATAGGAATCATAGCATGCTAACTATTTTGTGTTGTGTGTGTGTGTGTGTGAGGGAGAATAGCCAAAAGCCTCCCAGACAAAAGCAAACAGCACAGAAATCACATGAAATCTACTCCGAGCTGATTTCACTCACATCTTTGGCACTTTTCCTGATCGATCGGACCTTTATCAAAACATGGTGTCACCTCTGGAGAGCTTCGTAGTTCTGCTCTCTGGTCAGATGCCGGCACAGCTATGGGAGTGGTTGATAAAGGAGAGCACTGGAGACGGAATACACAACACAATTCTACAGATTTTACCATTCAAGCTCAAAAACATATCCTCTGGCAAAGGGTCATTGATTTTGGGCTTAACGCTGGCCTCATACTCTGATTAAGAGATTTTCTTTCCGGTCCCACAGGGAGTCTGTGTCAGTGAAATGATACTTGATCTGCTCACTACTAATACGGGGGCTTTGCTCGGCTACATCTCCCCTGATCTTCTCCCTGTATACGATTAGACTATGATGTAACACGAGTGCTGTCTATAGCGGAAGTCTCATGGCGCGGCCTTCGTCCGCCGCCCACTGAGGGCTGAGGTCTTTAAGTGAAGTGGCCTATTTTCCCCACGCACATTATTATCTTTACCAAAGGGTTTCTCAACGAGGCTACTTGTGGTTGATGGCGCGTTTGTTGAAATGGTCGAAGGTTCCACGAATCTATTCTTAATCACACACTGCGATTAAAGTCTCGTTGAATGTGCTAGAGAAGTTTAACGTACTTTACCCTCTTAAGGTTTGACAAAAAGTAGCCTATACGTTTTTTTGCGTTGTTTTTTTAATTTTTTATATCAAATGACCTAAATTACAAACTAGCTGCCTTAATTTATTTTTGTTGCATTTCCTGGGAGCCATGGAAACAATCTGTAAACACTGAAATCACCATTCATGCTACTGCATTTTATCTATTGGAAATGTATGGAATGATATGGAGAATCATTAACGTTTAGTTTGGAGTGATGATACGCTTTAGGTTTACTATAATAGCACCACCAACAGGGCCAGCAAATCATTCTATGCCATTCAGACACCAAAGGATTGTAAACGGCGAGGGCAAACGTCTTAGTATAGGATGGAGAGGGTCAATAAACAGGGCAAATGGAGAGAACGGGGCGATTGGAGAAGATACAGAGAAAGTTTAGTTGTACTATCTTCAAAGTCGTCATAATCATGCGGCATCTGACCAGAGGGCCCAGTTTAATGAAGCGCTACATCTCGTTTTCTCACCCCCCCCTCTCTTCTCCTCTCGCATCCTCCCTCTCTCTTTGTCGGCTCTCTTCGATCTCTCTCTTCGTTCATTTCACCCCCAGGTGGATTATCGCACAGAGGACGGTACGGCAAACGCAGGTTCAGATTATGAGTTTGCGGAGGGAACACTACTGTTTAAACCAGGAGAGACCCTCAAAGGTAAAAATGACGGTGATTTAAATACGTTATGGCATATTTAAAACAAAATACATCCCGAGACTGAGACTCAAACAGCAGAGGTCGTCTGCGGAACCTTTTCCACTGTCTGTGACAAAGATATGATCTATGAGTTCATCATTGGAATAAAGCGGCATAAAATGGAGCACCATGAACAATTCAGCACCAGAATCCACCTCCTAAAACGATAATCCCTTTACCAGAGATCACGGTGGGAGTGATTGACGACGACATCTTCGAGGAGGACGAGTACTTCTACGTTCATCTCAGTAACCCTCGAGTGATTGGTTACCCCGAGATTGGCGCCGCCCCGCTGGATGCCAGTGCCACCCCCAAAGCCGTGATGGGCGACAACCACACAGCAACGGTGACCATCTACGATGACGACCACGCAGGTGCTGTTGACGCCACAATAATCAAACGGGAGTTGTCTAAGTGGACGCAACTATGGAGACACAATACTTTGTCTTACTCACCTCAGCAAGACATTGGAGAGCAAGCTGGGGAGCGAGGGCGTCCCGCGTCTTCTCCGCGTGTCTCCCGCGTCAAATAATGGGCCCTCTTTGTTTTTCGCAGGCATCTTCACCTTTGAGAACGGCAGTCAGAAGGTGAATGAGAGCGTGGGGGTGATGGAGTTGAAAGTGCTCCGGACCTCGGGGGCCCGAGGCCTGGTGGCCGTTCCCTACCACACCGTGGACGGCACGGCCAGAGCCGGGGACGACTACGAGCTGTCCGCTGGCAAGCTGGAGTTCCAGAATGACGAGACCATGTAAGTGGAGATGCTATGTAGAATATCTGTGATTTAATCAAAGAATAGGGGACTGACATAACGACACGCTGCTCTTCCTTGGTTTGCTTTCTGTGTGATGGACTCTGGTTCACAAAGGCCTGTTCAAATTACTCGAGTGTTAAAAATGCATTCAAATAAAAATAGCTCAATAAGGCAGATAACAGTGTTATTATGCCACTCTTCAAGGTAGGCTACTCTGCATTGAAATACTTCCTCATATATTCAAGGATGCACGCACAGACATACACACACAAAATCCCTCTTTTGTCCTTGGGCACATGCATTTTTAATATGCTGACGTTAGTGCTGTTAAATTGACCAATACATAAAGCAGTTGGGAATTCAGTTTCCTTTGCGCCTCCTGGGGCCTGTGAGGCAAGTACTTTTATTTGTGTGTAGTGGGGGTGTGTTGGTGATGTGTGTGTGTGTGTGTGTGTGTGTGTGTGTGTGTGTGTGTGTGTGTGTGTACGTGTGTGGTTTTGTTCTTGTATCCGTACAAGGACCCGTTTAAAAACTATTTTAGTTTCCAACTTTAGAGTAAGATTATGAGTTTTTTATATATATATATATATATATAATTTTGTCGGGGCGTTTTTTGTATCTTCATAAGTGCAGATAGAGAAAAACGTGATAATGGGGAGATAAAGGGAGGGGATCCCACTCAGCAGAGGACCGGAGTGCCTGTGCAGAAACTGGAGAGAAGGCTCATGCCGATGGAGTCACATATACAGTCAGTGCATTTGCCGCAAGGGGATGAGAGACCAAGTGTTTCTTATTTATTGTTTTCCCCCTAAGAGTTTGTAACTTTGATGGTCAAAAGTAAGCGATACACAACAACAATCTTCTTGCGTGGATGCTGATTAACTGAGCAAGGCTTATATTTACATGCGTCCGACAATCATACTAAAAGTCATATAGGTCAAAGTCTTATTTTTTAATTCGGACGAATCCACTTTAGCTTGCAGTATTAATCCAAGCTGCAAAGTATGTTTCTAATCATTAGTTTCTCTCGTTACAAAATGGATTAAAAGTTCTTCTTCTTTAAAGGCTTTTTGAGAAAATGTAGAAAACTGGAACAAAAAAACCCAAAAGCACAGTAAAAAAACTGTCCCCGTTAAGACAGGCCCCTTACTCATGTAGTATTTTCTCACTCTTGTCTGTGCTTTTTCTCTCCTCTTCGTCACAAATATCCCACTAATGCAAACCTGCGTTTGTCCCCTTCACTCATTTTTGGTCTTTCCTCCCTCAATCTGCCCTTTTCTCTCTTTAATGTCCAAGCCTCAGAAAATGTCACGTCTTTCTTTCCTTTTCCTTGTTCCCCTCTCCATCCAACCTCCTTTAATGTCTTCCTCTCACATTCTGTCTGCTCTATGCTTTGATTTTGTACTAGATGGGTTTTATCATCCACCTTCTATCTCCTTCTTTCTCCGTTCTTCACCTTCACACCTCGTCTTGTCTTCTCATGTCTCCCCTCCCTCCCCCATCCTGTTCATCCCCGATTCCTCTTCATTTGCATCTTCCTTCCGTCGCCCTCTCACCTTTAGTATTTACGCTGTCAGACTTTTCCTGCAAAAGGTCCGCCACTGTCTCTTTCTCAGCTCGTCTCCCCTCCCGACTCCAATTGAGAATTTGAGAAAATAGTAAATTGGTGAAATGCCTCCGATAAACTATTTTGGATTGTACATCCGATCAGTACATCCTGCCCTACACAACTGTGGCTTAGCACTCCTCTTCACACTATTTTGTTAGAGGCGTCAAAGAATGACGTGGTACAAGAGGTTTAATGTCAGACTTTTCTCTCACTTGAGTGGCATTTATTTGGTGTTAATCAGTCGGTAAACACAAAACACACATATATAAAATACAGGAAATCAAAATGTGTTCACAAGATGAAGTCAGATTAAGCAAATGCGGGAATTAATGTATTCTCTCTCTTCAGCTAAGCTTCTTTCATTCATCCCTCTCTTGTTCACCAATAATCCCTCCTATTTGTTTCCCAGTCTCCTTCCTACTCCAGCTCTCTCTGCCTGCTTGGTCTCTGTCTTGTTCTTTTCGTGAAGAGGGCATGCGTCTAAGGAGTCGAAGGCAAAGTTAACTGCTTTTGTGTGTGTGTGTGTGTGTGTTTGTGAGCGATGTGCTCAGCAGGGCCGGTTTATTCTTAGCCTTCCTGCGAGCTGCAACTGAGCACCGAGTCGCAGCCAAGACTCAGGCAGTCTGTGTGTGTGTGTGTGTGTGTGTGTGTGTGTGTGTGTGTGTGTGTGTGTGTGTGAGACTGTGTGTGGGGTTGTCTCCTCTGGCTGCTCATTATAAATATCAAACAGGTGTCGCCACCACACTGTGCCGACGCCTGTTCAATTACTGCTTTGCCCTGTGCGTGTACCCATGCACCCACTTTGCACAGCAAACCACCTCCGACATTTCCGAGTCCTAAAACTTTGCAACATGTCACCTCGCAGATGACGCTGGATTAAAACCTCGCTCTCTAAATCTTCCTAAAATTGCACTTCAAGGAATGTCTTTCATACTTTCACACACTGCGTGTCAGCAATTGGTCCTTGCGTGCCGCTCTCTTTGGTGTGTCCTGCTGTGAATGGGGATCTGAAATGAAAAATAATCAAGAATCTTTCCCATATTGAATAAAGAGCAGGAGGGAGCCGCAAACGTTCGCTCAAACTAAACATTCGCCTAAATTAAAAGTTAGCCTAAGCATAAGCATGAGGCTGCTTAAGCTCTTGATGGCATACTGTATGTCTGGGAAATAGGGTTGGAATGGAACAGGGTGAATGAAAAATATCCCCTTGACTTAAATTTGTGTTTGACACCCGTCAGTTTGCGTCTTCATGCCACCGTCTTTCATTGGATTCAAGGTGTTGCTCTTTTAAGAGACCCACCGCTACGCCGTGGAGAAATCAAACGCATCACGCACCATCCGTGCCTGTGTATGCAATTCCGCGGCAGGTTTTCAGCAGACGGGCAATTTGGAACAGTCTGATCACGCTTCTCAGACGACAACTCAAGTTTAAACGCCATCCTTCTAATCAATTGAAGGAGACAGAATGTGTTATTCATGTTTTTCAATGGGATCCTCGAGCCCCCCTGGAGTGCACCATCAGAATTGCCACTTAACAATATTGAGTCTTACAGTAATCCCAGCATCTTGCCATCTCGAGTTACGTGTTAATGAAACCCAAACACAACTTCGTATTGTTTTCGACAAAGCTGTCGAAAGAGCTTTAAGCTCCTGCTGAAGGAGAAGTCAGCTTGTACATTTTGAACAACACATTCTCCCTTTGGCGAGATACTTCTTGGAATTAAGAGAAGTACAAGGGAAGTGAGAGCGTGAGCTTGTGTCTGTGTTTGTGCGTGCGAGTGAGTGTGGGTGGGTGGGAGGGTGTTTGCTTGTGTCACAGCGCTTGTAGTGTGTTTCTTACATGCAACCTGTTTCTCCGTCTGTCACCGAAGCAGGGTGACTAACCCAAAGCCGTTCCCAAAATAAAACATCCTTTGAACTCCAAATCCCCAAGAGCATGTGCACTGTAAATGTGCATCTGCGCATTGAAGTGTGTGTCCTTTTTGCCCAAAATAATAAGGATGTGTGTGTGTGTGTGTGTGCATGTGAGTAGCCATTTTCCTGTGTTTCCTCACAGATATGTTTGTTGCTCAGCGAGGTCATATCATCCCCGTCTCTTACCCCTGCACACGCGCTTGGATACACATACACATACACACAGACACACACACACAGACACACAAATCACTCTTCAGACGATCAGCATGTCTGCCCTTCCTGCTTATCATCCGAGTACTAAATAAACTGGTTATCACCATAAGGAGATTAAAGTGGTTTCAGATTTTCTTTTTCAATGTCATGTGTCACAAAGTCAAGCATTTGTGTCTTTGCCCGATGTAACGGAGCAGTTCACCAGATTAAAACTGTTCAAGTGCTGCGCCCTCGTGGTTACAATTAACCTATCGTATGACACCAGAAAATGTTGGAATAAGATGGCGTGCGTGCGGGTTTTGCAGACTCCCACACACCACTTTGGAGCTGTCAAACACAGCAGGCATGTTGGTTGCTGTGTGTGCATACTGCTTTGTGCTGGGAATATTTATGCAGCAAGATTTGTGAAAATATGCATCCAAAACCCATTTAACATGGTTAAAAACAGCCACTGGTAATGAATCTCACACTTATTTTGTTAATAAAGATAACTGGAGCAATACGATTATGTGAATTAAGCACTGTTGGTGAGTCGCTCCACCAATTTTTCTATTATCTATAGTATATATTATAGAATTGTTCTATTAGGACAAAAAGTGGTGGACTGACACAGATCAGGTCATTATATGTTGTACAGACATTAATGGTCTGCAGAGGATGAATCCAATTGTCAGTGGACATTTCCTTGATAGTGACTATTGTTTGTGTGTGGAAGGTTGAAAGATGTAAATATAAAAAGTATGATAACATTTTGGACTTTGAGAGTATTTCTTGTCATCCTTTTGACACCCGGACCTGTAATACATTAAGCGTATTGTTTAGATTAGATTCAGGGTCCCAAACTGTTTCTGTTTTTGTTAAATAGATGGAACATTCCTTCATGAAATGTATATTTAGAACTACAACAGTCCACACTGGAGCACAGCGAGTACAGTACAGGAGGATTTATGTGTGCATCGCTAGGCACGTATCTGTATTCATAGTGCTCCCAGGACAGTTTTCACTTCCCGGCAGTTGCATTGCATTATCTCATGTCTTCTCTTCCCTTTTGTTCACCCAAACGTCCCTCCAGGTTCAAAGAGCAAACAGCTACAGGGCGGATAAATATGCTCCACACTCGCCCTCTGATTCACTCCATTTCCCTCCATTTTATCACAGAATGCCAGAAATCCTCCATCTGTATAAGTGTGACAGGCTTCTCCTTTGTTTTCTCTGTGTTTGTTGCCGTAGCAACTTATGATCCCTTCCATTGTAAGCA